CCGCCTCCCCGTCCCCCCCGGCTGTGGGCTCTCGCCGAGAGGGTCACGGTGACGCGGGGGGCGTGGGGCCGGCGGGCTCCTGGCAGGCCCTCCCTCGGGCGTGGGGGTGCTGAGGGCTCCGGGCCCGAGAGCCTGGTTATCCCTCCGCGGGGGACGCCCCGCCACCGGCTGACCCGCCCCGTCGCTGCGACTCCCAGAGCTGCTGTCACCTGCGCTGAGCGGGACTCGCCACCTCACGCCACCGTGCCCGGGAGCGCATCCGGCTCCCGCCCGCACACAGAGCCACATCCCTTTTGACCTCTGACTCCGCTCCCTGCGTCTGGGTGACTGTCAGACGCCCCCTCCCGCATATGGGGCAAGCGCCCGCCTGGACTGGGGACGCCCGAGGTCGCAAAACCGTGTGTGACTTCACTCGCGCATACTCTGTGTGACCCGAGGATTGTCCCATTGGAGTGCTACCGGCGTATCTGCCGGCCCTGCTCCCCAGCGTGGGGTGATCTTGTGTGGCTTTATAGACCTCCCCTCTCTCGTAGTCGAGACCGCCTCGTACCCTTGTGAGCAGCTTCAGTACTGCCGTCTTGAGGGGTGTGTAGCTCTCTGGCAGTACACGCCCACCTCCCAGCCTAGCGACGGTTCCCTTTCCCCACTGACACTTAGCCTGAGGACACGCGAAGCCAGTGTATCATCTGGCCACGCCGCACCCCTACCCTCTTCGCTGATCCGCCCATCTTGGAGCCTCCCCGCTGACGTCTGTCCCCCTTCCTCCACACACATCTGGCCAGGGACCACCATGACTGCATGGAGCTGCCTCCTTGTGCCCCCACAGGCCCTGTGCCCAAGTCCTCAGAGCTGGAGTGAGCTGGAGTGAATTGGATTCTTCTCCCCACAGACCCCGTGACCGGCCCCCTTCCCCATGACCTTTTGTGTATCTCTCTTGGCCCAGAAGCCACTCTTGAATCTTCTATGGTGTGATCCTGTGGGATCATCCCGAGAGGAGGGCAAAGGCACCTCCCTCGTGTCTGGGTATTCTGTGGACTCGCTGGTCACCCAGCCTGACCTTCGCGGCCTGACCTCCCCATCCCTTTTCACTCCCATCCTTCTCTGTTCTGATCTGGGTCAGTTTGGGGGAGTCTCACGTGGGCCCAGAGAAATCCTGGAGATGAAGCTGCTGTTGTCAGGTGCTGCCTGGGACTGGAAGCCCCACCAAGACATGGAAGGTCCCTGCCGGGCTCCGAAGGGCTGCCCTTCCCAGCTTGAGACTGGATTGGGTCCAGGGTCCTCTAAGTGCAGGTGGAGGCCTGGTGGGCGGAGGTGGGCAGGCCCAGGAGCCCCCTGCAGGCTTCTGTCAGCTCCATCCCGTCTTCCCTGCCCTCCCATCTCTGTCAGTTTCTACCCATCTCTGCAGTTTGGTGTCTCATGCCTACTCCCCTCCTCGTTATGATTTGATTTCTTTTCTTTTGGACAAACCGGCCGTTTCTGTTGTGATTTATCGTGGTGTTGTTTTTTTTCTTCCTTTCCCATCCAGTTATTGTGATCACTCTAAGCCCTGCTCCTGCCCCGTCCCAGCGAGCAGGTACCAGCCTTTTTATCATCGCTGCTTGGACATCTGCACCACTGACCTAACCGCTGCCCTGCGCAGAATGCCCTCCCTAGCCCATGCCTTGTGTGTGTTCTGTCTCCTCAGTCTGTCTTTCTGTGAGAGCAGCGTGGACTCAGTCCCAGTCCTCTGCATTCCCTGAACTCCCCACTTCCTCTGGGCTTCAGTTTGGATTCCCTGGAGGAGACTTGGTGCCCTTAAGGAGTGGAGTCTCCCCCTGCAAGCGTGTGTGTGGGTGTGCGTCTGCATGTGTGTTTGTGTATGTGTAACAGAGAAAGTGGGGCCAGTGAGGCGCGGTGTGCCTACTCAGTCTGTCTCAGCAGTTGGATGAGGGTCGCGCCCAAGTACTGTCTGCCTGTTCTCTGCGCTGGGAGCAGAGCAGTGACAGAAGAGACTGAGCCGCGGCCCTGGATAGGGACCGCATTCTTGTTGTTAGAGGGGCCCTGCATGGGTCTCTTGGGAAAAGCACCCCAGGGGAGACAGCATGTGAGCACAGTACGGGGCTGTGAGGGCAGAGGTCGGCCCCGTGAAGGCCCCTGCGCTGGTGGCAGCGTGTTTGGGAACAGACATGCCAGGCCATGTGGGATCCTGGGGTGGGGGCACCTGTCCTGGCAGTTGGGAACGGTCTGGCCGTGTGGGTAGTTGTGTGTGTGGCTAGGTGGGGTGTTCGTGTGTATCCAGTCCTGAGTGTGTGTGTGGATGTGTGCGTGCGCATGTGTGTGTCTGTGATGGCAAGAGGGGCTGGCTCTGTCCTCCTGCACGTGTGTGTGTGTGTGCGCACACGCATGTGAGTGTGCACGAGTGCTGGCCTGGCAGCCACACCTCCAGGGCTCCTGTGGGTGGCACATGCCCCATGCTCTCTGGCTCTCATTCTCTCATTCATTCGTTCATGCATTTTTCCCTTCTCCTGCTCTCTCACCCTCCTGCTTTCTCTCTGCCCCTCCGAGCTGGTGTGTGCCTGTCACCACCTCTGTGAGCTCTGTTTTCAGGGCCTTTGTGTATCCCCCTCCCGTCCCTGCTCCAGGCCCCTCAGGTCCCCACCGTGCTCTGGTATCTGTGGCCAGCAGCCTTTTTTGCAGGCTCTGGAGCAGCCCAGAAGGACAGTTCAGGGAAGGGGCCAGACCCATAAGCACCTCGAGGTGTGAACAGGCTGGGGGGCGTCGGGTGACGAAGGGCCCTTAGGTACCTGCCCGGACAAGACCTGGGCAGTTGCTAGAGAGACCAGGTGCAGGCTCGCAAGCTGGAGTGGGGAGCGCAGGGCCCCTCGGGAGCTAGCAAGGGACCTGCGCTGACTGGGCCATGGGCAGAGCAGAGGTTCGGGGAGGGTGGCAGGACCTGCTCCCCATTCAACTGTAGGACACGGTCTCTGCCTACCTTCCTGGGTCCCAGAGAAGCAGCCCAGGAAAGGTATGTTTGTCTCTGTGCGCTGCTGCCCAGGCCAGGTCCCCGGGAGCTGTAGATCTGTGGGAAGAGAGAGGTGAGGCAAGGGTGTGGAGAGAAGGGAAAGGTGTCCGCGGAGGGCGATGGGGAGTGGCAGGCTCTGGGCCCCTGGGACAAGGATCCTTGGAGGGTGCTTCTCACCCATGGGGTGCGAGAGCTGCATGGAGCGTGGGCCCCTCCAGGAGCCACACCAGCCCCGCCCTTGCTCCCTCCCCACCTTGCCCCCGGTCCAGGGATCCCCCTAGCTCCTTAAGGAACCTGCTCTGCTGTCCCGGGCCCCTCTCCGGCCTGTCTCTGCAGCACTGCTCTGGGCAGCTGGGCCCCAGACCTTGGCTCTGTTTGTCTGTCTCCTGCCCTCCACCCTTAATGCTGCCCGACTGTCTTGAGGCGCCCGCTGCCTGTCCGCCTGCCTGCCCGCCCGCCTGTAGCATGTCCGAGCTATCTGCATGCAGGCCGTGGAGAGTACCGACCCCCCTGCCTGGCCCAGCACCCGCTCCCTGCCCAGTCCTGCCAGTCCCTGGCAGAGCTGTTTCCTGGATCTCCTCACAAGCCCACCTGGGCTGCTGCCCCCACCCCTGGGCCCCAGCTCTGCAGGCCTAACTCAGAGGTGCACAGAGAGCCCAGCTGGCCAGAGGGCAACCCTCCCTGAGCCTGGCTCAGAACATGGGCAAGGCAGCCGGAAGCCAGGGTGCCACATCCGCCGTCTCCCCAGGGTGGTCCTCCTCACTCACGTTTGGCCACCAAGTTCAGTGCTTGCAGCAGGGCCAGGGCCCAGGCTGCTCCTGGCAGGCGTCCATCTGTCCTGGCATGGCCCAGCGTGGACACTGTGGTTGTGGGCCTGCTTCTTGGAAAGGGACAGCCAGGGAGGCCACCTGGCCCAGGGCCCCCAGCAGGTCTCCCCTTTGTTTCTCTGCCAGCGTGAACTTGGGGAACAAACTTTTAGCCTCTGGGGATCATCCCTCCCCTACCAGCCCACTCCATCTCCTTTCAGGTCAGCAGGACAGGAGGAGGCACCCTGAGGGTGGCATGGGGTGGGGAGGCCCTAGCCAGCAGGGCGGGGGCTTTGCCAGCCTGGCTGATGAATACGGGTGTGGGGTGGTGAAGGTCCCATCCTCCCCAAAATGCTAGTCCCAGAGCTGAGTCTAGCCAGTGCTCACCCGCTCCCGCCCCTGGTTCTCAACCCCTCAGCCCTACAGCTCCCACTGGCCAATGATGGAGGCAGCCGCTCGCCGTCCTCAGAGAGCTCCCCACAGCACCCCACACCCCCTGCCCGGCCGCGCCACATGCTGGGGCTCCCGTCCACTTTGTTCACGCCCCGCAGCATGGAGAGGTGAGCTGGGGGCTGAACGGCAGGGACAGGTTGGGGAGCACTGCGTGCTGGGCTGGGGAGCAGGGTGGGGAGGTCTGTAGGACCCCATATGGGTCCAGACCCTGATGGATCACGTCCCCTCCACTGGCTCCTCTCTGTCCCCAGCATTGAGATTGACCAGAAGCTGCAGGAGATCATGAAACAGACAGGCTATCTGACCATCGGGGGCCAGGTACCACTGTGCTCAGCACCCTGGTGGGGTGAGGGTAGGACATGGCTGGGATGGACTGAGGGTGTGGGCAGCAGAGGCCCCAGGGACCCTCCAGCTCGTGCTGTCCCCTCAGCGCTACCAGGCGGAGATCAATGACCTGGAGAATCTGGGCGAGATGGGCAGTGGCACCTGCGGCCAGGTGTGGAAGATGCGTTTCCGGAAGACGGGCCACATCATCGCAGTCAAGGTGACCCAAGGCCCCGTGCTCCAGGCAGCGCTCCCACCCTGCTCCCCGGCTGTGGCCCTGAGCTTCCTTCCTGTTGACTCTCCTGCAGCAAATGCGGCGCTCAGGGAACAAGGAGGAGAACAAGCGCATCCTCATGGACCTGGACGTGGTGCTCAAGAGCCACGACTGTCCCTACATCGTGCAGTGCTTCGGCACCTTCATCACCAACGTGAGCCGCCTTCCCCACAGGCCCCCAAGTCCTCTGTCCCCACGGGGTTCCCAGTCACGGTGCCACCCCTCCCTCCGCAGACGGATGTCTTCATTGCCATGGAGCTCATGGGCACGTGCGCAGAGAAGCTTAAGAAGCGGATGCAGGGCCCCATCCCTGAGCGCATCCTGGGCAAGATGACAGTAGCGGTGAGCACCCGAGCCAGGGCCTGTGCAGCCGGGTGGGCGGCCTCGGGCCCTGGGCCCCTGTCATGGTGCCATCCGTGTCCACACCGCAGATTGTGAAGGCGCTATACTACCTGAAGGAGAAGCACGGGGTCATCCACCGCGACGTGAAGCCCTCCAACATCCTGCTGGACGAGCGGGGCCAGATCAAGCTGTGCGACTTCGGCATCAGCGGCCGCCTGGTGGACTCGAAGGCCAAGACGAGGAGCGCCGGCTGTGCAGCCTACATGGCAGTGAGTGGGGCCATGCGTACCTGGCAGGAGGGGTGGCGGCTGGAGGCTCACCCCCCCCTCACGCTTCTGCTTCTCCCCCTGGCAGCCTGAGCGCATCGACCCCCCAGACCCCACCAAGCCCGACTACGACATCCGGGCCGATGTGTGGAGCCTCGGCATCTCGCTGGTGAGTTGGGGCCCTGCCTGTCTCCCCAGGCTATGAGTGAGCCCTTGAGGGGTGTAGGGGTGTGCAGGGAAGGGGCCAGGTGCACGCCTAGCCCTCGCATCTCCCTCGCAGGTGGAGTTGGCTACAGGACAGTTTCCCTACAAGAACTGCAAGACGGACTTCGAGGTCCTCACCAAAGTCCTCCTGGAAGAGCCCCCGCTCCTGCCTGGTCACATGGGCTTCTCAGGGGACTTCCAGTCCTTCGTCAAAGACTGGTGAGCACCCACCCTGTGCGCCCCTCTGCTCAGAGAGGCCCAGGAGCCCAGGACGGGGGGCTGCAGTCGGGCGAAGCTGGTGTCCTCAGAGCTGCAGGGAGTCTGCCTGGTGCCAGCGGCCCCATGTACCCTGCTGGGGTGAGCAGGGTGGAGCTGCAGGAGTCCATGCCTGAGCCTCCCTGGGGAGCCCGCCCTGCGCTCCAGTGGAAACTTCATGTCCCAGTTCAGCTCCCTGAGCCAGGTCTGCACCTCACCACCCCAGGCCAGGAGGCTGTGGGGTCCCACGGCTTGGCAGGAGCCCTGTCAGCACGGGGCCTGAGGACGCCGGCAGCTGCGGCCACAGACTAGAAGATGCCCGCTCACCTCTCCCCTCTCCCTCTTTCTCCAGCCTTACTAAAGATCACAGGAAGAGACCAAAGTATAATAAGCTACTTGTGAGTATTGGGGCCCCTCGGTGCCGCCCGGGAAGTCCCCTGGGCATGAGGTCGGGCCAGGAGGGAAGACCCTTCATCTTAAGCCCCCCTCGGGCCCACAGGAACACAGCTTCATCAAGCGCTATGAGACGCTCGAGGTGGATGTGGCGTCCTGGTTCAAGGACATCATGGCGAAGACGGAGTCGCCGAGGACTAGCGGAGTTCAGAGCCAGCCCCACCTGCCGTTCTTCAGGTAGCCCCACCGGCCAGGGGTGTGGGCCCGGCCCCCTCCTGACCCGGCCACCCAGCTGCCCACCAGGGGAGAGCTGGGACCCGGACGGCCGCCGAGGGCTGAGGACAGAAGTTGGGGGGTACCCACCGCCCCCCGATGCTCTGCCCACCAGCTGTGGACACACGGGCCTGCCGGGCCTCAGCCCTTCCCGCTCCGGGTCAGCGGGCCGCGCGTTACCCGGACAGACACTGTGAACGGCAGACAGCAGGCCGCCGGCAGACTCGCTATTTATTCAGTCGTAACCTCTGGGCGGGGGCGGCCCTTGGCCAGGAGAGAGCCCCCAAGTCCCGCACCCCACGCCCCCCACGCGCTTGCTGTCCCTTCCCTCTCTACCTCCCCTTCGTCGACTGGCTTTCCCGTCTCTCTCCGGGCCTGGACCTGGGCTCGGCCACCTTAGCTCCTTGTCAGAGCCCAGGCTCTGCCTCAGTTTCCCCCAGTCCTTGCCAGGACGCGTGTGGGTCTCTGGATTGCAGCTGGAGCCGCGCTGGTTTCTGTCTTTCTCTCTTTGATCTCAGGGGGTCCTTTTTGGAGTTTATTACAGTATCCTCGGTGGGGTGTCTGGGCGAAGGGGAGAGGAGCACTTGTCCTCGTGGGGTGTGTTGGAACCTTCAGAAACTTTTACCAAAGTCACGTTTAGCTGCTTTTGGTGGGGCTCTCACCAGCTACCCTTGGGTGCTGGGGGACGGGGACGGGGGCTGCTCCGTGTCAGGCAGGCCTTGGTGAGGCCCCGGATGGCCAAGGCCGGAGAACAGGCTCAGGGCGCCTCCCCTGGGGCCGGAGACTGGCGCAGCACTGCGCAGGTGAGCTGAGGCGCTCAGGTGGGGGAGAGCGGGGCCTTGTGCGGGGGCCTCTGGGGAAGGAGGGCAAAGGAAGCGCAGAGAGGCGGCTGCAGGGACGGGAGACAGGAGGGGCGGGGGAGGGGCTGAGGGAGAGGGTTGAGGGCCAAGGGAGCAGGTGTGGAGGTCTGAGGATGTGTGAGAGCGGCAGGTCGGGGTGGGATGAGGTCGCTTCCCCCGCCGTGGCCTGAGTGCCCTTCAGCTCACCTGGAGCCGGCTGCAGCCCCAGCCCACCAGAGCCCGGTACCGGGAAGGACCCAGGGTCCACCCCAGGCCCAGGGGAGGTGTCCGTGCCAGCTGCAGCGGCCAGTGCAGGGAGGGGTGTGTTTCCTTTTTGTTGGTGATGCATGCACATCAAGGGGACAGAAAACAAAATAACAAAAAAATGGAAAAAATACAAAACCACAAAAACCAACCAACGCCAAAGGTGAGGAACCTCGCTGGATGTAGCTGAAGCAACATAGGCTTAGACGACACTACGGCCTCTTACCTATCTTACTGACTGTTACTCTATTCACAATGCCGCATGTTTAAAATGTAATCGAGGTGGTCTTCTCTTTGCCCTGGGGAGGCCGCCTTCTGCTCTCACCTCCTTTGTGAGGGGGTGAGGCCTGGCCCCTGCGAAAGGCCTTAGGGGGTCGCTGGAAGGTCGCTCTGCTGGTCCCAGGGCCAGCGCCGGCCTGAGGCTGGGCTGCCTGGTCTCCTTTTTATTTAACTTTATTTCCTGTGGTGTGAGTGTGTACCTGCCCGACCCCTGCCCCTCAGTGTTAAGTGGGAGCCCCTCCTGCCTCCCCGCTTCCCGAGACCTGCCCTGTCACCAGCCATCCCTCTGGACCAGGCGGAGGGCGGACAGGCCCAGCAGCGGCCTGAGGTGGCCTGGCCCAGCCCGCTGGCCCATGGATGCCCTCTCAGGCCGTCAGTATTGCCCTGTCCCTTTTTAAGACAAGATGCCCTCGTTTGTAACTCCTTAGACGCTTGAGAATAAAACCCCTCCCTTTTCTTCCGAGTCTGTGGTGTCTCCTCAGCCTGGCAGGGAGAAGTGGGGAAAGATGGGGGGCGGGTTGCCTCCGCTGCCTGGAGGGGGAACTGAGGCGGGGCTGGGCGCTGTGAAGGGCGTTTGTAGTGACAAGCAGCCCTCCCGAGGGACACCTCCACGGGAGTCTCAAGTGCTGCAGGAGCACACGGCTAATCCCTGGAGGCCTTGGGTGAGGGCTCTGGTGTCGGCCCCTCGGCCCTCCACCCCCGCTCGCCGCTTCCTGGGGTGGCTGCCTAGCCAAGGCCAGGGCTCCCTGCCCACCTGCAGAGCCCGGGTGCAGCGCACGCAGGTGTCTGCTGGCCCACAGCGCTGCGACCTCGGCCCGCGCAGCATGCTGGGCGCCGTGCTCCTGCTGCTCTCGCTGCCTGGGACCTGGCCCGTGCCTGATGGGCCCCTTGGTATGTAGACTGGGAGCGCCGCGCACCCACCCTGACATCTTGTCTGCGGGACCCTATCTGCCCTACCTGGGCTGATGGGGATCGGGTGAGGTCGCCCCGTTCTTACCCCAGAGTCCCCGGCAACTGCCATGGGACGAAGGCTGTGTGGGTAGGACCGTCTGTACACGTGCTTTTCGGACCTGGGTGTGTAGCTCGCGTTTGACGAGGACCCCAGCTCAGTCCCTCTTGAAGGCTGATGTCTGCGTAGGGGCGAGTGTGTACGCATGCGCACGTGTGGTCCGGTCCTGGAGGGCTCCCGCCCCTTTCTGATGCTGCCGCCCCAGTCTGGGAGTATGGTCCCCGATAAACACAAAACCCCAAACACGGGTCGATGGGCTCCGGCTGTGCCCAGATAAGCCTCTGGGGCTGTGCCCTCTTGATGCCAGCGCCCACACCCCTGTAGCAAGGGGGCCTCCGAGCCTACTACAGTCAGTCACCGAGCTCGGCAAGAGCAAAGTCGAGAGCTCCGGGTCCACGCAGCCTCACGGCCGCGCCGCACCGCTCAACCCCGTCTCCCCGGGACTCCCGCCAGCTCCGCGGATGGAGAAGTACAGGTTGGCGAAGGCAGGGCCCACCCCAGGGCGAACAGCTGTGCGCCTCGGCCCTGGGCTGGCCGCGACCTCTGGGGGTCGCCAGGGGGCGCAGCCTAGTAGCTACCCAGTGGGAGTGAAAGGGCCGCCGGAGCTGCGTCCCGTTTACCAAGGAGGCGGCGGGGGCGAGGAAGTCGGGCGCTTTCCCCCGACGTCCTCCGGGAGCGCGCCCTCTCCCCTGAGCCGCCCTCTGCCACCCCGCCAGTGGCCCCGTTCCCCGGGGCGCCCGGGCCCTGGCTGCGCAGACCCCTGTTCCGTCTGGAGCTGTCGGACGCGGCGGAAGCCTTCCCGCGCCGCGGGGGGCCGCTCGAGGTGCCCGCGGACAGCCAAGTGTTCGTGCAGGTGCGGGCGCCGGGGTCCCTGCGGGG